GTAAACATGCAACTCTTTCAAAGTTGGAACATGCGCGAATTTTTTGGATGGCATGACCTCGTTTAAGGAATGACTCAAGTTTGCCCTGTTGAACTGGGCAAGACATACGACACCAAAATGAGACGGGTCGGCTGGGGTGTTGGGGACCTAGATGGAGGTGAGGGAGATCTGGATGGAGGTGATGGAGATCTAGGCTTCCGACGGCGGGCGGATGATTTGGTTTGTCTTGGTCTTTTGGAAGATGTAGCTTCCATAGTCAAGTTTGGGACAGATTAAAAGTCAACGGTCAAAATGTCAAAAAGTCAACTGTTGACGGGTCCAGTCAACTTTGAACTTGGCCACCAAAATTTCGCGGGAAATTTGGTTTTCAAAGATTTCCAACTAAGAATCAAGTCCAAATAGACCACACTTTCAAGTATTTGACTCAAGAACACAAAATTCAAAGGTTAGGAGTTGGAAAGAATTTACCGAATCGTGTGTTGGATCGTGTTGTTCTTGATGGAAAAGATCTTCTTTAACCTCCCCAAGCTTGCCCCTTTCAAGATTGAGACACTAAAACACCAAAATTAAGTGAGAATTTTCGGATCTAGGGTTTGTCAAAACCCCCAAATCCACCATTAAAATGCAAGAAAATGGTGTTTAAGATGGAGAAGATGAAGTGTAGATGATGAAAATCAAACCTTTTTGTAGATGAAAGTCAAAATCTTGAAGAAATTGAAAGGTATTTGATGAAAATCGGACTAAGGTTTTTGTTGGGAGAGAGGGGCTGTTAGGAAGTGAAAGTGGGGATAAATGAGGTCAAGTCCCGATTTTTTCTTTAAAAAGGGTCTGAACTGCTGCGCGAACACGACCCGTGTCTCCCCAGGCTAAATTGACACGCCCCGTGTTGGGGGGTTTATGCTGCGTTATGTACGAACACGACCCGTGTTGGGTCAAGGCCAAAAACAAACGACCCGTGTTGCTCTCTGGAAAAATTTGGGACTTTTTTGGATGAACACGACCCGTGTTTCAGGCTAGGATGGGACACGACCCGTGTTGGTCTCTGTAAGAATTTGGGACTTTTTTGCATGAACACGGCCCGTGTTTCATTAAGGCTAAGAGGGACACGACCCGTGTTGGTCCCTGGATGCTAATCCTCACTTTTTGAACTTGAAAATTTCCTCTCTTAGAAATGAAATACTTTTGCATTCCTAGGTCCGTTTGGTGATTTAAATCATGATTGAATGCATTTGGAACATTGAAAACCAAAAACTCAAAGAAATGGAAATTGTTTTTAAGTAAAAGACAGAAATACCCCCGGGTTGTCTCCCGGTTAGCCGCCATTGTTTCAAGTCGTTGGCTCGACTTTGCCCCCACAAATGCTTCGTTCTAAGTATTTGGGCCTCTCCAACACATCAATCTTCTTGCCACCTCCTTCAACGGAACCTTCAACCTTCCTTTGGCTTTCTTTTTGCGCATAAACCAAAAAGGACTTAACCCTTTTATATCAGAGATTGTCCACACCATCCTTTTTTGGTATTTTTCAGCATGGTTATCAACTCACTCTCTTCCTTCTTTGATAATTTATTTAGTTGATGACCGGTTGAGTGCTCTCCTTCTTGACATGTATTTTCTTTATAGGGCCCAGTGGAGTTTTTGCTCTCGAATCTTGTGCTTGTTCCACCGGTGGAAGGAATTTGGCTTTAGTGGTGGGTGACTCTACTTCTCTTCCATCAATCCACACGTGCTTATCATCCTTGAATTTCAAAATCTCCAGCACCTCCTCGTTTGTACCGCACTCCTTTGCAAGTTCTTCGGCTTTGTACCTGTCTAATTTTTGTGACAAGACTAACTCCACAAAATCATTGTTAGTCGAGTTTAAGCTCTTTTCAGCCAATGGGTGGATCATATTCACAAAAACAGATTGAACATCAGAAGGAACCTTTTTTTCTTCTTGAACATTGAAGTTGATAACTTCACCGTCAAATTCCGTACTTAAAGTTCCATTGTAGACATCAATTTTTGTTTTAGAAGTTTTAAGAAAAGGTCTACCCAAAAGTATGGAACTTGAACTTGGAGAGTCATCATCTCCCATATCTAAGACATAAAAATCAGCCGGGAAGATAAATTCATCGACTTGCACTAACACATCCTCTAGTACACCCTTTTGGTGTACCAAGACCGATCGGCAAGTTGGATCTAGTACACCCTTTTGGTGTACCAAAGACCGGTCGGCAAGTTGGATGATCACACCGGTTTTGCTCAATGTTCCTACACCAATTGATTTGAAGAGAGAATATGGTAGGACATTTACGGATGCACCTAGATCGAGCATGGCTCGAGGTACATGAAGATTCCCCAATTTGCAAGGTATGGTAAATACACCGGGATCCTTACACTTAGGGGGCATACTCTTTTGCAAAACCGCGGATACATGCTCCCCAACTGTTACCACTTGATTTCCTTTTAATTTCTTTTTAGATACACAAAGATCCTTAAGGAACCTTGCATATCTAGGTACCTGCTTGATGGCCTCGAGGAGTGGAATGTTGATTTGAACTCTCTTGAACATTTGCATGATCTCACTCTCCTCCGTTCTTTCTTCGTGCTCCTTAATCTTTCGGGAAATGGAGCAGGTGTGGCTTTAGACTCAGTGATGAAGGGCTTCTTTTTGACTGTTTTCTCTTCCTTCTTCTCTTCTTTGGTTGCTTCTTCGACCACTATTTCTTCTTTCTTTTGATCAACCGACACTTTTGGACCATCATAGCTCTTTCCGCCTCTCAATGTGATGGCACACACATTGTGCCTTGGGTTTGTTTCAGTTTGTGCAGGTAACTTTCCTTGAGATTCTAATTTGCTTACAGAAGTGGCAAGTTGTGAAACTGTTTCTCTAAGTTCGTTATGCTTGCTTTTGTCTCTTGTTGGAAAGCTTGTGTACTAGTTGCCAAACTCTTTACTATGTCCTCTAAGGACATACTTGATGAACCCGATTGTTGAGGAGGGTGTTGTGGCTGCCTTGGCTGGAAGTTTTGTGGTGGAAAAGGTGGTCTTTGCTGGTATTGATGTGGTTGACTTGGTTGATTATTTGTCTGTTGATGTCCTCCCCAACCTTGATTGTTACTCCATCTTTGATCACCCCGTGGCTGCTCATATCCCCTTTGATTAGACCCAAGAAAACCTCCCATGACTTTTGCTTCTTCATAATCTTCCTCTTGGAGTTGTGGGCACATATCAGTTGGATGCCCCACTTGGGTGCAAATACCGCACGGGCGGGGTGTGGACTGCACACCTTTGTCTTTGGCTAACATCATGACTACTTTCGTGAGCTCGGACAATTGAGCTTCAATCTGAGGAGTTTGTACTTCTTTTACACCCCGGGGTGCATCCGTGTACCATTCTTCATCATGGCTTGAATGTTTGGAATCTTCAGCCATGTTCTTGATTAGATTTCGGATCTCAGTTGGGGTTTTATCGGGCAAAGATCCACCACTAGAGGCGTTAAGAAGCCTTCTTTCCATTGGTGTCATTCCTTCAATGAAATATTGGAGGAGTTGGTATTCGGTAATCCCATGCTTTGGGCATCGAGCACAAAGTTTCTTGAATCGATCCCAATATGCGTGAAAAGCTTCTCTCTTGTGCTGCTTGATTCCAATGATTTCCCTCCGTAGGGTGGAAGCTTTCATCTCGGGAAAGTACTTATCCAAAAACAACCTTGCAAGATCTACCCAAGTAGTTACCGTCCCCGGTGGGAGGTCATAAAGCCAGTCTTTGGCTGCATCTTGCACCGCAAAGGGGAATGCCCTAAGCTTAATCTGATCCTCCGTGACATTGTGTGGTTTCATACCCACACATACTACATGGAACTCGGTGAGGAACTTGTGAGGATCTTCTTCTCCAATCCTCTAAAAGTTGGGAGTAAGTGAATAAGCCCGGATTTTAGTTCAAGGTTTGTGGCAGCTGGATACGTGATACAAAGAGGTTGTTGAGTAACCTCTTGTCTTGACCATTGGCGGAGGGTTTGTTCGGGTGGTGGGTTTGGAGGTGGATTTCCTCCAGGGATGTCTGCCATGGCTTGAGAAGTGGGTGATGTTTCTGTAGGCGAAGTGTTTAGGATATTATGAACAGGTGAAGAAGGTGAAGTGGTATTGTTGGGTGAGGATGGTTGTGATGAGAGTGAGAGACTTTCTGTTTCTGATGTGGATACACTTGAGAGGGGTATGTCCTCCCAAATGTTGATGACCGGGGGAGTAGATGATGAAGAAGTCCCGGAACCCGGTTGCTTCTTACGAAGCTTGGCTTGCTTCCTTAGCTTCTTTGCAGTCTTCTCTATCTCCGTGTCAATTGGCAATGGCGTACCTGTACGAAAAGATCTTGGCATAAAACAATTAGTAACACCGTGTCCCCGACAACAGCGCCAATT